TACGTATTTATAACGTTTCACCACTAAGTAACGTTGCATCGTTGCTGCTGCTAAGTTATATTAATGCCATTATTTATTGTGTTATTACATATCACTATTTCAACCATGTACGGGTAGTAAGGACTATTATAGACTTAGTGTATTAGTTTGCATTCGGTCTGCCAAGAACGTTAAACATGCTACCAGTTACCAATTGTGTAGTTCTTGTTAAAAGAGACACGTACAGTACTGGTAAATTGAATTGCCCAAAGTGCCCAATATTTTGCTACACAAAGACACATTAAAATGCATATTTATATAAAGCAAAGGCAATTCCAAATCCAAAGTATAAAGCAATAAGATACTTTATGTAGTATAACTTTTCGGGGAACTTCCATGTCACTGCAAGATCCCTGTGGAGAAATAAATGTATGTATAATTTAAATTAATTTTCAATGATTCTATTTGCATATAAAATGAAAAAAAAAACAAAACACTGAGACTAGCATCACGCCACTCAGCTGAGGAGGAAGGACCCGTGTTGTCTGAAAGCTCTGGCTGTTTACGTTTGCTTTTTAGTTGTTGCTTATCAAATTTGTATCGCTACCGAGATCCAGCCATTGTTTCCCACAGCATTGTTGTTTTTCATTATTTTGTTAATGTAAATGCGGGGCAGCTCATTCCTCGGAATTATAGTGATTTTTTTTGGCTTAGGTTGCACTTGACAATTGTTGATTATTTATTGGTTTGTCTATTGAAATAGGAATGGTAGTGTTAATGCGACTGTTAAGAATGTACTGTTTGTCATGGGCTAAACAAAATTGAAAAAATCAATTCCATAATTGAATTGCTTTATTTGAAAGTTATTAATTTAACAGAAATTTAAACGGACAGTTAAATACAGTAATACATTTCCTGTACTCTTGTGTGAAGACCCTAATTGGCTGGTAAACAAATTAGGACTTTCGTAGTAAATGCCTACAAATCAATGTGTTTCAATGTTTCTGGTTGGAAGTTAATAACTTGATTGATTAAAGGCTACTTAAAATTTTAATTTAATTTTTGAGGTTTTGGCAGGGATTACCTTTTTAAATTTTCGTTGTAATTTTCAATGGATAAAATAAAGTAGATTATAATATTTAAGAAATATAAAAAAATGTATGATTTTATACCAAAATATCTATTACCAGAGATTGTTACCATGTTTAGTAACAAAAATATTTATAATAATATACCTCTCTATAAAAAATATCCGAAATAGAACAATTTACCTGTATTTTTCTGTTTTACTTTGATGTATCATAATAACCAAAAAAAATCCAGTAAGAATGTTGAGTAGAATAGTTATCACAAATTCCATCAATATCACAAATCCCTGAGAAAACAAATAATGAAGAACATTAACATCATAAAACTCATAGTCTGTATTATTGTTGTCACCACTTTGACATCGTCAAAATCATATAAAATACCACAATCGTCATTATCATTATTTATCAACATTTCCGCTGCCACCGTCGGCACCATAATCATATCAAGATTCCAACTCCATCGTGATCATTGATGATCATCATTACGTAACATTATCAACATTATCAACTTCACCAGAATCATCATATTTTCATCATCATCATCATCATCATCATCATCATCACCATCACCACCATTATCATCATCATCATAATCATCACCACCATCATCACCATCATCATCATCATCATCATCATAATCATCATCACCACCATCATCATCATCATCATCATCATCACCACCACCA